TATATATATATATATATATATATATATATATATATTAGTATATATATATATAAATATATATATATATATATAATATATATATATATATATATATATATATATATAATAATATATATATAATATATATATATATATATATACTATATATATTATATATATATATATAATATTATATATATATATATATATATATATATATATATATATTATATTATAATACATAATATAATATATTATTTTAATTATTTCTACTTCAATATTCATATATATATATACACTATATATATATATATATATATAAATATATATATAATAATATATATTTGCAAAATAACCACTGTGAAAGTAGTGAAATCGAAGCGCTTTCGTGATACTCACAGTAGTGAGTAATCACGAAAGCGCTTGGAATTTCACTACTCTTCACAGTGGTTGTTTTGCATATTTAAATCACATGTTTTCTTAAATTTCGTATTATATAATATATATATATATATATATAATATTATATATATATATAATAAATATATAATATAATATACTGCCACATCAAGGTCATTATATTTTTTACATTATGTTCGTGAACCAACGCTATGCGAATAAAATGTCTGCGTAACACACTACATCAACCATGTTTCTTAAGTGCTGAATTAAGACCATTTACATTGTAAGTAACAACCACTATTATTATTATAATCAAAAAAGAAGCGCTAAGCCACAAGGGCTATACAGCGCTTGTAACAACCACTACTGCCATTTTCCTCGAAGTTTTCCCTTTCTCATTGTCTTTAGCTTTCCTTGAATCAAGCACATTATCCAAGTGTTGCGTTGATGTAAGCGACATCACTCAGTATTATGTCATCTATATATATCCTGCACCTCCTGCAGTATGGACGGCGATATTTTCCGTGTTTTGGAAAATCTCGCCAAGGGTAGTCAGCAACGCTACGTGTCTCTGTTGTCGATCTCTGCCCAGGGGTTAAAACGCCTTCACTACAATTAAAATTACTAGCCTTCTGATAGTAATCCTGTTCCAAAAATTCCATTTCCACTGTATATTTTTTCTTTTTCTTGTCGCTCTGCGCAAAAATTAATTTGTATGTTGGTGATCCTTATCAGTAACATTGTCTGCCATCGTATCTTCACATACCTTTGACTACAGGACGGGCCCATTCTTGTACTCTGTAGAAAACTTCGTCAAACTCTCCACACTTCGGACCCTCTTATCACCATCACTACGTTTTGGTCAGTGTACTTGTGTATGTTTTTCACCCACATTGGAGACACCAGTGGTGTCTTGGCCCCACGGATTACTCCGTGAACGATGTCCAAGTGTTGTCTGAAAGTTGCGGTTGGGGCACTAGTTAGCAAAATGCTCCACACGAGCACATACACAGCAAGTCTTTTGTTTGCCAGCACATGTTATTAAGATATGGGAACGAAACTGTACCATATTAACGTATGGCGGTATTGGATGTCTTAAAACCAACTTAATCATTCCATATAATAAATCATGCCACCGCTCACACTGCCATACTCTCAATTTTAGGTCGAGTATTTCACCGTTCTTCCGAAACGTACCACGTAAGTTCTCTTCGTCACTTTCAAAAGGTAAACCACGGATACCAATCCGTGCATATGAAGTACATACATCTTTTAACTTCACTTTCTGTAACCCGTTTACATCAATTTCTTCAATATCTTGAGAAGACGACACTAGTCGAGAGCATTCTGCTTTGTTGTCAACATTCTAAAGGATCCTCTGGTGATTTACTATCGCAATATCCCCAATACATTCATCCTTCACGCCATATATATAGCGAATTATCCTTACAAGTAATTCTTCTGAATTGTGTTGCACGAATGTTCCTTGACTTAGATCCAATAACACGGGTTCGAGCCCTCGGCTAGCCGCAGTGTTGTTATAATTGCCTTCCATTGTGGAATAAGCAGCTCTCTGAGCCAAACAACTCTGATGTCACACCACCTGTTTACTGGAGGTGTTGGCTGCACGGCTGCCAAATAGCGAATGAAGTTAGTTATTTTGTTCAGTTGCAAATTAAATTTAATCTAATTGGAAGAAAGTAAGAATCATTGATGAATTAAAGTTCTAATACCATTAAATTAGAAAGTTTAAGCCTAGACCAGCAAATGTGGGGCCCTAGAGTGATTTCTTTTTCAATGTTAAATAATTTAAATGCCCTTAGACTTGCCAGGTCATTTACCCTTTAGGAGCCAGGACTTTTTATTTAAGTTACGCAAGTAAAAAGCGTAACAACTATACACAGAAGACTTTAAACCATTAACAATATTTGTAATTAATGTATCTAAGAATGAGACGAAGTTCTCCTTTTGGACCTCTACAGTAAATTTAATATTTTTATCTTGTGAATTTAAATAGTCTGTGAACATCATAAAGTTATGATGTTCAAAGAGGAACTGAGGGGTATTTATGGTGTGATTTTCCTTCCTTCTTTTTTGTTCAACCAGTTTCTGTTAAAGAGTTGGGCGTGGTCTTTAAATAGGATCGTCTCCATCTTGTTTAAGTGTTGGCCCTGGACCCATTTTCTTTAATACTACGTTAGGAACTTTCCTAAAAATAATTGCCAGATTCTTTTGGAATCAGAATTTAATGTCTTTTATAGAGCAATAGTTTGGAGTCTGATGGTATGTTTGTGATACTTGACATATCATTAATGTTGTGGTCGCTAGGTCATTACTACATATTCAGTGATTATGGGTTTTATATGCTTTATACTTATATGTATTTATATGTAGATATCCCGTAGCTCGGTCGCTAGCGCACTCGGCTCACACAGAGAGGTCCGGAGTTAGAATCCCCGGTACGGTTGGAAAACGTTAGGACAAGTTTCCATAAAACAAATGCTATCCTTGTTCACCCATCAGCATAAAATGGGTACCTGGGTCGACTGACGTGGGTCGCTTCTTGAGACAAAAGTGACATTTCTATTATTCTGGAGAAAGTCGTTTCCTTGAACGAATCTGCCTTGAATTCCTACTCATTTCTGCAAAACAACAAGCTCCTGATGATGTGTGAATTGCAACACGAAAGGCCTAGAGCTATTACTGAATGCCCTCTGTGGTTGGTTTTGCATCATTTATCTCTCGTTCGCGATTATTGCACACACACACACACACACACACACACACACACACACACACACACACACACACACACACACACACACACACACATATATATATATATATATATATATATATATATATATAATTATATATATATATATATATATAATTATATATATATAAGTAGTCATAATTTCTACAGGGGGGTGTATCCGGTTTAAGGGCCTTCTACAGGGAGGTGTATCCGGAAAAGGCCTTCTACAGGGAGGTGTATCCGGTTTAGGCCTTCTACAGGGCGGTGTATCCGGTTTAGGCCTTCTACAGGGCGGTGTATCCGGTCTAGGACCAGCGGCTGGAGGGTCACCTTTTCACACCTAGGTGTTACTTCCGGTTTTGACCATGACCTCGCCCTCGAGACTACCTCACCCTTGACCCCCCCAACCAATACCCCCACCCACGACCCCCCCCCCCTTCGCGACCCTCCTTCGCGACCCCGCCGTCGCGCCGCGCGCCCGCGCGCCCGCGCGCGCGCCCGCCCCGCGCGCCCCGCCCGCGCGCCCGCCCGCGCGCCCGCCCGCCGCCCGCCCCGCGCGCCCTTCGCGACCCCCGACCGCGCCTTCTGCTGCGCCTTCTGCAGCGTCATCCGGATCGCCCCCGCGCCTCGAATTTTTTTCCGATTTTTTTCGAATTTTTTTTGAATTTCATTTTCTTGTGCTCTCCATCTCCTCAGATCAAATTTTTGAGGTTCCCCCTCTCACTTTCACCCCCATCCCAAAATTTCTCGATATTACCAAGTTTTTGGATTCCCCCCTATGGGGGTTTCGAAAGTCTCCATCTCCTCGGATCAAGTTTTTTGGATTCCCCCCTATGGGATTTTCGAAATTCTTATGATCTCCTCGGATCAAAGTTTTTGGATTCCCCCCTATGGGGGTTTCGAATTCTTATGATCTCGAATCAAGTTTTTGGATTTCTCCATCTCCTCGGATCAAGTTTTTGGGTACCCCTCCTTTCACCCCAAATTTTCTCGACAATACCCTGACTCCATCTCCTCGGATCAAGTTTTTTTTGGATCCCCCCTATGGGGTTTTTGAAATTCTCCTTGGATCAAGTTTTTTTTTGGATTCCCCCCTATGGGGTTTTCGAAATTCTCCATCTCCTTAGATCAAGTTTTTTTGGGTACCCCTCCTTTCACCCCCCATCCCCCAAATTTTCTCGATAATACAAGTTTTGGATACTCCCCCCTATGGGGTTCTCAATATCAAAGTCTCCACTTCCTCGGATCACCCTCCCACTTTCACCCCCCAACCCCAAAAATTTCTCGACAATACAATTTTTTGGATCCCCCCTATGGGGTTTTCGAAATTCTCCATCTCCTCGGATCAAGTTTTTTGGATTCCTCCCTATGGGGTTTTCGAAATTCTCCATCTCCTTGGATCAAGTTTTTTGGATTCCCCCCTATGGGGTTTTCGAAATTCCTCGGATCAAAGTTTTTGGAATCCCCCCTCTGGGGGTAAGCATTCAAAATAGACTCCTCCTATGGGGGCATGCTTACTACAGGTCTAAAAAAACCATACCCCCGGCCGGGATTGAACCCGCGGTCATAGAGTCTCAAAACTCCAGCCCGTCGCGCTACGATTTCTTAAGTCATGTACAGGTCTAAACATCTTCCCCTTATTATTTTAAAATGAACTAAAAGTTTCCGCTCATTAAGTCAAATGAACTAAAAGTTTCCTCTCATTAAGTCAAATGAACTAAAAAAGCGTTTACTCGGCGGTCAGTGACGTCACGTGTTGACCCAGCACACAGGTTGAATCAGGTCGGTCCTTTTAGTTCATTCAAGATAATAAGGGAACATAGTAGTGACGTCACGCGCACACAGGCTGAATCTTGTCTACCCTTTTAGTTAATAAGGGGACACAGTACATCAGAAAGGCACATTTTTTCGTTAATACTCACAATTTCTTTACAACACAAGTCTAGACATTTTTTAACTATTTCATCTCAGGTCACTCCCCCCACGAAGTAACCTCCTCCCCACCCTCCCAAACCCTCACACTCCAACCAACACCTCACAATTTTCACTCATAAACCCCAATTTTTCTCGTTTTAACCCTTTTAGTTCATTAAAATTAATAAGGGGACACAGTGCATCAGAAAGTCACCACATCGCTTACATCCACTTTCGTTAAATTCACTACTCACAATTTTACATATTACGAAGTTAAATACGCACTTTTTACTTTGAACATCTTTCAAAACACTCATAAATCATTTGAAAACTCACCAAAAAATACCTTTATACATTTCCAAACAACACTGAAATACTCCAAAACATCATTCGAACACCCCCAAATCACCTCTGAATACTCCCAGAACACCTTCATAAGTACTCTTGCACATCATTTGAACACCTTCATAAGTACTCTCATAATCATTTGTACACCTTCAAAAAACACCTTTGAATACTCACATAAACACCCTTGAACACCTTCAAAACACCTTTGAATAACCTCAAAACACCTTTGAATACTCACATAAACACCCTTGAACACCTTCAAAACACCTTTGAACACCTTCAAAACACCCTTGAACACCTTCAAAACACCCTTGAACACCTTCAAAACACTCTTGAACACCTTCAAAAACACCTTTGAACATTTCCAAAACACTATTTGAGTACTCCCAATTACACCACTGAATACTACTAAAACACCGCTGAATTCAATCAAAACACCCTTCAACACCTTCAAAACACCTTTGAACACCTTCAAAACACTCTCATAACCATTTGAACACACTCAAAACACCTTTGAATAACCTCAAAACACCTTTGAATACCTTCAAAAACACCTTTGAACATTTCCAATCAACACTGAAACACTTCCAAAAAAACACAATTTGAGTACTCCCAATTACACCACTGAATACTACTAAAACACCGCTGAATTCAATCAAAACACCCTTCAACACCTTCAAAACACCTTTGAACACCTTCAAAACACTCTCATAATCATTTGAACACACTCAAAACACCTTTGAATAACCTCAAAACACCTTTGAACACCTTCAAAACACCTTTGAACATTTCCAATCAACACTGAAACACTTCCAAAAAAAAACACAATTTGAGTACTCCCAATTACACCACTGAATACTACTAAAACACCGCTGAATTCAATCAAAACACCCTTCAACACCTTCAAAACACCTTTGAACACCTTTGAACACCTTCAAAACACTCTCATAACCATTTGAACACACTCAAAACACCTTTGAATAACCTCAAAACACCTTTGAACACCTTCAAAACACCCTTGAACACCCTTGATCACCTTCAAAAAAACAACATTTGAACACACTCAAAACACCTTTGAACACTTCCAAAAAAACACAATTTGAGTACTCCCAATTACACCACTGAATACTACTAAAACACCGCTGAATTCAATCAAAACACCCTTCAACACCTTCAAAACACCTTTGAACACCTTTGAACATTTCCAAAACACTATTTGAGTACTCCCAATTACACCACTGATTACTACTAAAACACCGCTGAATTCAATCAAAACACCCTTCAACACCTTCAAACACCCTTGAACACACTCAAAACACCCTTCAACACCTTCAAAACACCTTTGAACACCTTCAAAACACCTTTGAACACATTCAAAACACTCTCATAATCATTTGAACACACTCAAAACACCTTTGAACACCTTTGAACATTTCCAAACAACACTGAAACACTTCCAAAAACACCATTTGAGTACTCCCAAATACACCACTGAATACTAAAACACCACTGAATACACTCAAAACACCACCAAAATCACCATAAACTAAGATCAACACCCACATCCCACAACACCCACAACCCACAACACCCACAATTTTTTTCTCGTTTTAACCCTTTTAGTTCATTAAAGTTAATAAGGGGACACAGTACATCAGAAAGTCACAACACCCACACCCCCCATTTTTTTCTCGTTTTAACCCTTTTAGTTCATTAAAGTTAATAAGGGGACACACTACATCAGAAAAAGTCCCAACAACAACCCACTTATAACATTTTTTTTTTCGGTATCTCTAGTTCGACAACAACACCCACAACACCCACATCCCACAACACCCATGAACATTTCCAAAACACTATTTGAGTACTCCCAATTACACCACTGATTACTACTAAAACACCGCTGAATTCAATCAAAACACCCTTCAACACCTTCAAACACCCTTGAACACCTTCAAAACACTCTTGAACACTTTTCAAAAACACCTTTGAACATTTCCAATCAACACTGAAACACTTCCAAAAACACCATTTGAGTACTCCCAATTACACCACTGATTACTACTAAAACACCGCTGAATTCAATCAAAACACCCTTCAACACCTTCAAACACCCTTGAACACACTCAAAACACCCTTCAACACCTTCAAAACACCTTTGAACACCTTCAAAACACCTTTGAACACATTCAAAACACTCTCATAATCATTTGAACACACTCAAAACACCTTTGAATAACCTCAAAACACCTTCGAACACCTTCAAAACACCCTTGAACACCCTTGATCACCTTCAAAAAAACAACATTTGAACACACTCAAAACACCTTTGAACACCTTTGAACATTTCCAAACAACACTGAAACACTTCCAAAAACACCATTTGAGTACTCCCAAATACACCACTGAATACTAAAACACCACTGAATACACTCAAAACACCACCAAAATCACCATAAACTAAGATCAACACCCACATCCCACAACACCCACAACACCCACAATTTTTTCTCGTTTTAATCTAATTTCATCAGAAAGTCACAACACGCCACACCCCCCATTTTTTTTCTCGTTTTAACCCTTTTATGTTCATTAAGTTAATAAGGGGCCCACACTACATCAGAAAAAGTCACAAAAACAACCCACTATAACGTCTTTCGTAAAATGTATCTCTAGTTTCGACAACACACCCACATCCCACATCACCCCCATCCCACATCCCCACACACCACACGGACACCACACACACACATCCCCTAACATAGCCTAACCCTAACCTACTTATCCTAACCTAACCTAACCTAACCTATACTACACCTAACCTAACCTAACTACCTAACTAGGCCTAACTTAACCTAACCTTACCTAAATTATCCTAACCTAAACCTAACCAGCCTAACCTAACCTAACATAACCTCACCTAACGCTACCGAAACCTGACCCTAACCTAACCTTACCTAACCTAACCTAGCCTAACCTAACCTAACCTAACCATACAACCTAACCCAACCTAACCTAACCTAACCTAGCCTAACCTAACTTATAACCTAACCTAACCTAACCTACCCTAACCTAACCTAACCTAACCTATCTTAACCTTACTAACCTAACCTAGCCGAACCTATCCTAACCTAACCTAAAATATATTGGCACACTCCAAAATTACATTAGAGTACTCCAAATTACTTTGAAACGACTCCATTTTTTTGGATATTTCCAAATTAGTTTTTGAAAACTTTATCGTAAAAATCGAACATTATATTTCTTGTTGGTACAACACACTCAATGATAGAAAATATTTTCTTTACTCGATTTCCGAATTAGAAGCACTGTCCTCGCTCTGAGAGACTCATATGTGGTCACCCCAACACATGGTGTAATGCCTTCACACCCAAGTAAGAACATAACACCCTGCGTCAACTCAGGACAGACAGGCGCCCTGTAATTGCGGTAACAATCCAAGGTAGTAAAAATCATCTCTTTCCAACAAACTGTTCCTATCCTAACCTAACCTAACCTAACCTAATTCCTAACCTAACCTAACCTCACCTAAAACCGAACCTAACCTACACTCCATCAATCACCTCTAACCATATCATGTTTTACCGTCATACTATCAACACTAATCACCAAGATCACCAAAAATCTAAGATCATGCATCTCAAAACTACTATGATCACTGAAAACACTTATTTTTTTAAACATTCCAACAAAAATAAGACATACACAAAATACACAACACTTCCACCAACATCAATAAACATAAACATGAGGGCACATAACATATCACTTATCACAAAAAAAATAATACAACAAACAACCCACATATTATACATTTCAATTGAAAATTTAAAACATGAGACATACAACCAAATCTAAGAAATTCACCTCCAACTAAGACATACACATCACCCCTAAAACTTCCTTCCTTATTCATTCCGTTATCTTCCCTAGAAGAAGCTGTTTTAACCCCGAACGGGTCACATCACGACGTAGGAGCCAGAGGAACCATCACCACTCAACACCACCTACTACACTCTGGCCTCCTACGATCGTGGTGGATCCGTCGGGGTTAAAACAGCTCTGGAGATATACGGAATGAATAAGAAGGAATTTTAGGGGTGAATGGTGTATGTCTTAGTTTGGAGTGAATGGCTTAGATTTTGGTGTGTAATGTCTCATGTCCTTAAATTTCAATTGAATGTAAAATATGTGGGTGTTTGTGTATTATTTTTTTTGTGATAGTGATATGTTTATAGTGCTCAATGTTATGTTTATAGATGTTTGGAAGTGTTGTGGTATTTTGTGTATGTCTTATTTTTGGGTCGAATGTTTAAAAAATAAGTGTTTCAGTGATCATAGTAGTTTTGAGATGCCAGATCTTAGATTTTTAGGTGATCTTGGTGATTAGTGTTGATAGATGACGGTAAACATGAATGGAATTGGTGATCGTGATTATTTGTGTGAATAATTATATAAAATGTGTGTTTCTGTGATCTTGGTGTTTGGGGATCCATAAAATCTGGTAATCGTCTTGGATAAAGTGTTCTTAGATAATGTATGGTACACGAGTTTGAAACAAGGGGGTTAGGTGTGATGTTACCGCAACCACCAAGTAACACAATGGGGAGTGTGACGTCACCTGAAGGTGAGCCATCGTTCGTCGTCCTGTGAGTGAGACATCGTGTGTTGGTGTAGTGAGGTGAGGGCGCTTAGATATTGTCAAATATGATTTATTTTTGTGTGTGTGTGTGGTGAAAATGTTTATTAAAAATGATGGTGTGTCGGTGATATAGTGATTTTTGAGGTAAGTAACATGGTTGATTGTAGTTGGTGATTGTCTTATATTATGTGTGTGTATAAGAATATGTTTTCATTGATGGTATCATGTACGAAGTGTTTGCGTAAAGGTTTGTGTCATTGCTTTTTTTTTTATGCGCCAAATGGGGGATGGGAGATCTTGGATATAGGATTTGAGGGATTCTATAAAAAGAGGATGTTAGATGGTGATGTTAAACTTAAGTTTTCTGGTTGATTTGACGGTGATTGGTAGTATTCCAGTGGTGATTTGGCATAATCAGTGAGTGTTTTTTTGGGAGTATTCGGAGGTGTTTTGATGGTGTTTTTTTTGAAAGGTGTCAAATGATGTGCAGAGGCATTTTTTTGAAGAAGATCAGTGGTGTTCAGAGTTGGTTCAAAGTTAGTCAGTGTTTAGGTTAGGTTAGACTAGGTTAGGTTAGATAAGTTAGTTAGGTTAGCTTAGGTAAGTTAGGTTAGGTTAGGTTAGGTTAGGATATGGTTAGGTTAGGTTAGGTTTTTGGACAGTTTAGGAATAGTTAGGTTAGGTTAGGTTAGGTTCGGTAGGTTAGGTAAGTTAGGTTAGGTTAAGTAGGATAAGTATCGAGGTGTTGATGGAGTTAGGTTAGGTTAGATAGGTTAGGTTTAGGTAGGATAGAGGTGTATGATGGAGTTTAGGTTTGGGTTAGGTTAGGTTAGGTTAGGTAGGATAGAGGTGATTGATGAGTTAGGTTAGGTTCGGTTAGGTGGAGGTTAGGTTAGGTTAGGAATTTAGTTTAGGTTAGGTTAGGTAGGATAGACAGTTGGTCTGGAAAAGAGATATTTTCTACTTGGAATGTTACCCGCATTACATGGCGCCTGTCTGTCCCTGATTGAACGCAGGTGTTATGTTCTACCTTGGGTGTGAAGCGCATACACATGTGTTTGGGGTGACCCACAATGAGTCTCTCAGAAGCGAGGACAGTGCTTCTATTCCGGAAATCGAAAATATTTCTATCTTGAAGTGTGTTTTCCACAAGAAAATAATGTTTCGATTTTACGATAAAGTTTTCAAAACTAATTTGGGGTAAATATCCAAAAATGGAGTCGTTCAAAGTAATTCTGGAGTACTCTAATGTATTTTGGAAGTGTTCCAATAAATTTTAGGTTAGGTTAGGATAGGTTCGGCTAGTTAGGTTAGGTAAGGTTAAATAGGTTAGGTTAGTTAGGTTAGTGTAGGTAGGTTAGGTTAGGTTATGTTTGGTTAGGCTAGGTTTTAGGTTGGTTAGTTGGGTTAGGATAGTTTAGTTAGTTAGGTTAGGCCTAGGTAGGTTAGTTAAGGTTAGGTTAGGTAGGTTCGGTTAGGTTAGTTAGGTTAAGTTAGTTAGGTTAGGCTAGGTTAGGTAGGTTAGGATAATTTAAGGTAAGGTTAGGTTAAGTTTAGGCTAAGGTTATGATAAGTTAGGTTAGGTTAGTTAGTTTAGGTTAGGTTAGTTAGGTTAGGATAATTAGGTTAGGTTAGGCTAGGTTAGGGAAGTGTGTGTGGTGTTTCCGGTGTGTGTTGGGGGATTGGGATGGGGGTGATGTGGATGATGGTTTGTTGTCGACTAGAGATTACCGAAAAGACGTTTAAAAGTGGGGTTTGTTTTTGTGAACTATTTTCTGATGTAGTTGTGCCCCTTATTACCTTTAAAATGAACAAAAGGGTTAAAACAGAAAAAAAATGGGGTGTGGGTGTTTGTGACTTTCTGATGAAATTAATAAAACGAGAAAAAATTGTGGGTGTTGTGGGTGTTGTGGGATGTGGGTGTTTGAATCTTAGGTTGTATGGTGATTTTGGTGGTGTTTTGAGTGTATTCAGTGTGTTTTAGTATTCAAGTGGTGTATTTGGGAGTACTCAAATGGTGTTTTTGGAAGTGTTTTCAGTGTTGTTTGGAATTGTTCAAAGGTGTTTCAAAGGTGTTTTGAGTGTGTTTCAAATGTGTTTTTTTGAAGGTGATCAAGGTGTCAAGGGTTGTTTTTGAAGGTGTTCGAAAGGTGTTTTGAGTTATTCAAAGGTGTTTTAGGTGTCCAAATGATTATGAGAGTGTTATTGAATGTGTCAAAGGTTTTTTGAATGGTGTTCAAAGTGTTTTGAGAAAAGGTGTTGAAGGGTGTTTTGAAGTGTGTTCAAGGTGTTTGAAGGTGTTGAAGGTGTTTTGATTGAATTCAGCGTTGTTTTTATGTATAATCAGTGGTGTAATTGGGAGTACTCAAATGGTGTTTTTTGAAGTGTTTTCAAGTGTTGATTGGAAATGTTCAAAGGTGTTTTTGAAAAGTGTTTCAATGAGTGTTTTGAAGGTGTTCAAGGGAGTTTTGAAGGTGTTTGAAGGGTGTTTTGATTGAATTCAGGCGGTGTTAGTAGTAGTAATCAGTGGTTAATTGGGAGTACCAATAGTGTTTTGGAATGTTCATGGTGTTGTGGGATGTGGGTGTTGTGGGTGTTGTTGTCGAACTAGAGATACCGAAAAAAAAATGTTAGAAGTGGTTGTTTTGGGACTTTTTCTGAGTATGGTGGTCCCCTTATTAAACTTTAATGAACTAAAAGGGTTAAAACGAGAAAAAAAAATGTGGGGGTTGTGGGTGTTTGTGAACTTTCTATGAGTTACTTGTCCCCTTATTAAACTACTTTAAGAACAAAAGGGTTTAAAACGAGAAAAAATTGTGGGTGTTGTGGGTTGTGGGTGTTGT